GTCCCAGTCGACGTCCGCCACTTGCCCGCTTATCGTGCACCTCCGCACATCGTCCTGCTCTGTCCAACCGCGCGCATCATGGGCCAATGCGCGCCATTCGCCCCTTAGCCGATCTTCGTCGCCCTTCTCGTCGGCGATCGTCACCGTTGGTTCGGGCCATGGGTCCCAACCTTTCAACCTCTCACAATCGTCCGCCGATATCCACCACCCATTTTTCACCCATCGCAACCCACGCCTTCTCGTCTCCTTCTTCCTTGCTCGCCTTTTCCTTGTGCAAGGCTTACACCAACAGTATGATTCCTTAGCCTTTGCCTTGCATTTCCTTCGAGCTCGTTTGGTCTTGCGCTTCTTAGGCTTAAGCTTGGATTGCGGACCACACCCTTTTGGCTAATCTCGTACGCATGATGGCCGGTATATTGGACTTGTCGGCTTCTCCAGCATTTTTTCCAGCCATATGTCGAGACCATCGTCCTCTTCCTCGTCAGACTCGCCTGGGTTGATGACCACTTCCGTATTATTCCTCTCCTCTTCAAGACTTTCCTTGTCCTCAAGGATTAGAAAATTAAGCGCACCATCATCTTCATCGTTCTGAACTTCACCCTCTCTTGCTCCTCGCCCTTCCATGAGTTGTCGCTCGTACTCTTCTCGATTTCTTCGTTCATGGAGCTCGTCTAAATATGTGCTCTCCCATGGGGTAAGTTCTCTCTCCAAACTCTCCAATAGTTCGAGATCTTCACAATCCATCTCGTCCATTGACTCATAAGACATAATATTTTTTTTTTAAGACTCTAAAAAAAAATTGAAAAAATAAATGAAAAATTCGAACAAGAATTTCGAAAATTTTGACCCAAAAAGAAGAGAAATTCAGCCCCTCAACAAAAGGTAACAACCAAAAAATCAAACAAAGGACTAGATGACACTTTTTTTTTTTTGATACTAACGAAATTTTTCAAAAATTAGGGATAAAATTCGAAAAAATTCGAACACAAGGACTCAAAAAAATCGAAC